TGAGGCCGCGTCCCACATACAGCAACTAGAAGGATGTGCAGCTATGACATACAACTATCTACTGGGGCTTTGGGGGGAAAATAAATAAATAAATCTTAAAAAAAAAAAAAAATTATGAGGATAAATAAGTTTGAGATAATTACCTCAGTGGTTTAAGAGAGAGAGAATTGGTCACTTATACTTGGTCTAAAATGTTTATTATTGGTTAGCATTTATGCTAAATAAATGTTATTTATTATTGTTATTAGTCTTAGAGCAGGGAAGCGAGAAACTATTGTGTAATACATAACATTGTCAGCTAATGTTAAAAGAAAAATTTCCCCACGGTCCATCCTATTAGCAGAAATATAGACTATTTTTGCAGAAATATAGACTTCAGTAAACTTAGGCCAGCAGTTTTCTAGCTATAAAATCCAAGGAAAATAAATTTTCCTAGTTAGATAATCTCAAGGTAAAATCCGGAAAACTCTATCTTAAACCCTAGCTTTTGATCTCAGGACATTATTATTTCAGTTGTTAACTTACTGCATCACATTATGGGAAAAGATGAGAGTGTATTTAATCTGGATTTACTGAATGGCATGTCTTTGAAAGTGCTTTAAAAAATAATTTATGGGGCCGGCCCAGTGCCATAGTGGTTAAGTTTGCACGCTGCACTTTGGTGGCCTGGGGTTTGCAGGTTTGGATCCGTGCCTCGCACCTACGCCTCATCAAGCCATGCTGTGGCGGCATCCCATATGTAAAGTAGAGGACGATGGGCACAGATGGTAGCTCAGAGCTAATCTTCCTCAGCAAAGGGAGGAAGAGTGGCAACGGATGTTAGCTCAGGGTCAATCTTCCTCACAACAAATAAATAAATAAATGAAAATAAAAATAAATAATTTATGATATAAGCTTACATATTTTTTTCTTATAAAAGTATGATGTAAAGAAATTCCTATTATTGGAGATTTTTTGAAGGTTTTCATTGTTATAAACTTAAATTTATTACGTGGTAATGAACACAACTAATTTTCAACATGTTAAAATTTAAATTTCCTTATTAAATTGTTTTATAATACAAACTTATTTTCCTCACATCTATAATTTGTATGCCAATTCAAAACTACATCTTCTTAATTTTGTAGTTTTGTTTAATGTCAAAGACTAGATTTATTATATCTATTCTAAAAGTTGGTGCTACGTTTTCTTTCTGGAATTTTATTTTTAACTTAATGAAAGTCAAATATAAATCTAATTATTGAAATGAATGTATAAATTAAATTACAGATATACGCAAAATTCCCTTTGCTGCATTTAAAATTATTTATTGAGTATCTATGGTAAAATAGTAAAAAGAAACATAAAACAGGATCTCTGATTTTAATGAACTCAAAATACACTGGTGGAGGTCAACAGACAGACTAGTGGGAAATGTATAATTATAGCACAATGTGAAAAGTTCAATAGTAGAGAGATATCTAAAATTTTATGGGGTCACCTGAGGAGGAGAGGTTTTTAACGTGGAATTTGACATTTGAGGTGAGTTTCAACACCAGCTTGAATTTGCTGAGTAAACAAATAGAGGGATATCTGAGAGGGATGGAGGCTTCTGGCCAGAGGGGTCTGTTTGAACCAAAATGGGAAGGACCAGCACATTTGGGGGAAAACAGAAGTGAGTTAAAATATACTATCAATTGGTTGGGAGGAAAGTATCCTTTTGATCTTGGTTATGCAGTCTTTTCCCTTAAAAATAAATACCATTTATTAGATGCAAAATATTAATTTGAGTGTGTCTCCTTTCCTTTTGTTTTGTCATCCTTTTGTTTGGAATGTCAACCAGCAGAGAAACAGTGTACAAGGCCTTAATAGGGGAAAACAGGGGTTCAGGGTCAGTGGATAATCCACTAGATAAATCAGATCTTTTACAGAAATCTTTTAAAATGTGTCTATTATTGCTACATGTACACTGTCACTTTGTAATGTAATTTACTTATTTTTACAGTGATGAAACCTAATGAAATTATGATAGAGTACAAAGTACATTTTACTGTGCAGCTTCTGTGCACTAAAAACAGATTAAAGTTCATATATATATAAAGAATTATCTTGATATTGTAAAAATAAGCTTTCACGGCTGGCAGAAAAATTATGAGTTTGTAAAAATGTCAAAATTTATTTTTGTCTTTGAGATTTTATAAGAAAATGTTCATTTTCAAGCAAAATTTTCTATTCATGTTCTTAGAAAAGAAAAAAATGACAACTTAAAGCCCATAACTCACTATTTTTAAAGTATCAACATTCTGGAAATGTTTAAAAGCATGAAATTTCCAGTATAGCTTTTCATTGGCATTTAAATTGAACTTTGCGTTGTGAATAGCCGTTACTCGTTAGGAGGCATCAGCCATGTCCCCAGAAGTGGCAACAGGCAAATATGGAGCAGTACCTGCTGTGCCCTCTTCCTGGTTTCAGACTCTAGGGCCCCTTCTGCTTCCCCACGTTGCCCCGGACAGCGGAGTAAGCCTCTTTGTCCTTACAGACTACCTTAGTGTCCATGACCTACACACTCGATTCAAAACCCAATTGCTTTCTTTGTCCACACTGTTTAACAATGGCCTCTCCCAACTGGTGACATGAAATCTGTACAATAATCATGTGACTAGCACTTAACACTTACCAGCTGATGTAGTGTAACTCCTCAGGTTCCTCAGACTGGGACTTATCTGGAGAGGATGTGTATAAGCATAAAGCATAACAAGAAAATGTGTCTCTGTCTGCTTAGGAGAGAGCCTGAGGAAGAATATCACTCAAAACTAAAAATTCCCGAAACTTAAGGAAAAAGCAGACAAAAAATGAGTTTGAGGGGCAAAAAGAAAATAAGGCAAATATCACATAGATATAGATAAGAGATGCAAGACCTAGGCTTTTATGAGCATAAATGTTGTAAGGTTTAGAAGGAAAAGGAGTTTTATTTCTCTATTGGCCTTGAAATTGTTAAAAGAGTAGAATCTCTTGTCTTATGACGTTTTTTCATAGAACTCTTCATTTAACTGAGACAAACGTTTTCATTGGAGCTTACTTTATGTGGTAATTACATGGAAGTCAAATAGAAAGATTAATTCAGCAATTATATCAGATATAGTCCTGGAAAATTTTTGATATGAGATTAAATCTTTGCCTCTAAATCCAATCCCAAACTATTTGCACTGTCTTCTCTAAATTTTTAACTCATTTTTAAAAATCGGCTGAGTCACTGTATCGTATTTTGTTGTATGAAAAGAAATTGTAAGCATGCTCAACAAACCTGTTCATTTTCATACTTTACTTAATGTCTAACTTTTGTTCCCACTAAAATTATTGAAAATTAATCTTATTAAAAACCCTTCTCTTTCAACTACCTGAACTTTTACAAAAGGATCCAAGTTCCTTTGTAACCATCCCTTACTCTGTTGTTCATTTCCAACAGTAACACGCACGAGTGCATATGTGTTGTGTGACTCAGAAGGTGGAGTGAAAATGAACAAGCTGAGTGAGATCAAAGAATCGGCACTGAAATTGAAATAAATAAATTTCATGCCGAGTCTGATGCAACTATACCTGCACCTGTAAGCATTGCTTTCTGTAAACTTTCCTTAATAAAATGTAAACCAAACCCAAATCGCTCAAAGCTCTAAATTTGTGATCATTAAACTTGAAACACCTTTTCATATCTGCATGGTTACAACAAAATATCTTGGCAAAGATTCAATGTTTGGCTAACCCACGCTCACTTAGAAATCTTTGTAGGTTTTTTTTCTTCTAACTCTTCAATTATTTAGGGAATGTGTAAACATAGGTCTTTAGAAGTGAAATTACTTTAAGTCGCTGTCATTCCACCATCCCTTAATCTGTTGTTCTTGATTTATCCCAGTGGCTGAGAAGACCAAAGAGCAAGTGACAAATGTTGGAGAGGCGGTGGTGACAGGGGTGACAGCAGTAGCACAGAAGACAGTGGAGGGAGCAGGGAGCATTGCAGCTGCTACAGGCTTTGGCAAAAAGGATCAGTTGGGCAAGGTATGGTTGCATACATTTTATATTATATTCGTAAGCTTGCGAGATCACGGTGCATTTTTATGCAAGGCGCGAGGCAGGAATAAGATGCTTCCTGGGGGATGGCTGACCGACCTTCCTCTTGTAAAAATGTGCTACCTTTATCTGTATATTCTTTTGGAGGTATTAACACAGATAAATGCCATGAAAATTGTACAATAATCATGATTGTTTCATTTTCGGGAAGAAAGTTAATGTAATAACCAATGCAATAAATGCCAAAAAGAACAGTGACATTTCAGAAAGAATGGGGGCTTTCATGTTAGCTATGAATCTCGGAATTTTTCCTTGTTGGAATATAACAAATGCTTTGTGCCCAATCTCTAAATTTTCAAAATGAAGTTCTTTTACTTGATTTCTTTATAATGACATCATCTCTTATTAAATGGCATATTTCCTTATCGTATATCAGTTCATTGCCAAATATATGTTTGTGGGAACTGAGAGACTTACACTGCATACCAACCAGAGATCATGGTTTGGGGTGATTTTAAAATTCTCAGAAGAATTTTGACCATATTTTTTGACAAATATGAGACTCTAGTAAGATTATACAAAAGATTTTATTAATTTCATTTTAAACAGGTAAGTAGTAGAAAATGAGGGGTTGACTGGAAGATGAAATTTTACAAATTTTATACCCATAGCAGCAGAATGATTTTTGCTTTTTCCCTGCCACAATGGCCTCCTTGCTATTCCTTGAACAAATCAAGCACACCCTTGCCCTGGCTCCTCCCTCTGTCTGGAAAGCTCTTCCTCAAGATCATATACTCGGCTCACTCCCTCATTTCCTCAGGTCTTTGTTAAAGGACACCTTCTCAGTGAGGCCTGCCCTGAATTCTTCAACATTGGAACCAATCTCCTCACCTCTGGTGTTTCTAATCTCCCTACTCTTTATTTTTTTCCTTTTTTGCCAAAGCATTTATCACCTTTAAAAATAATAAATAATTTACTTATTTTTTATGGATGTTTGTTTTATTTCTCCCCTTCTAGAATATAAGCACCATGAGGGTAGAATATATTTATTTTGTTCACTGATACTTCAAAAGTGTCTAGAAGAGTGCCTGACACATAGGAGACATTTAAGGAATATTTGTTAAATTAAGGAGGAAAGGAAGGAAGGAAATAAGTGAATAAGCAGAGTGACTTTTATTTCTGTGTCTTTAATAATTATATGTGTAGTATAGCAACTGTGGCTATTCAACCATCCAAAGTTATAAAACAAATAGTTTTGGAATAGATATCCTGAAAACTGTAAGAAAGTAGCTTAATTTCTGGAAAACTGCTGTGGATTTTTTTCCACTCCATGCAATCCTATGTAGAAGGCCTACCTTGATGGATCATTAACACATGATAATAAAAAAGTATGACTGAAAACCTGTGACATATTGAGATTTTATCACACGCAGTGACATCATCTGGGGCAATTGATGCCAATTATGGAAAATCTGGACTGGGCTCTACTGAATTTCTTCAGCTAACACTTGCATGTATGGTTGATGATAGTAGTATTCCTTCGTGCAGAATATGCTTTTCAAATAATCTTATTACTCATGCTAATAATTATACTAATTCCTATTTTTCATCTGAAATTATAATTATACTGATAGCTTTATTCTATTTCAAAAGTTAGGAGGGACCTCACATATTAGTACAGAGGCAATTAACCTGTTTTGTGTCCCAGATCCTTGTGCCAATCTTCCCAGAAAAAGGTACACTCACATACACACACCAAAGGGCTTAGTGGGATCTTGGAAGCCCATCAGCAAACAGAGCCATGATTTAGACCAATCTCCTGATTGTACAGATGAGGAAAGTGAAGTCTGCAGAGGGGAAGTAAAGAGTCCAAGGTCACACAGCCAATTGTAACAGACGGGATACCAGTAGAGCTTTCCCATCCACGTTGTCACTTCCCCAACCACTTCCTCAAAACCTGCCTTTCTTTGGGGTTTTCATAAACTGAATTATAGATAACCCAACTTAACTGGAAAAATTTTTTGCTTCAGAATATTAAGAAACCAGGGAAATGTATCATCCCCTGCTCACTCTCATTTAAGGTACACAATGTAGGGCCGGCCCCGTGGCTTAGCAGTTAAGTGCGCAGCTCCGCTGCTGGCGGCCCGGGTTCGGATCCCGGACGCACACTGACACACCGCTTCTCCGGCCATGCTGAGGCACGTCCCACACACAGCAACTAGAAGGATGTGCAGCTATGACATACAACTATCTACTGGGGCTCTGGGGGAAAAAAGTAAATAAATAAAAATTATTAAAAAAAAAGGTACTCAATGTAAATTGCAAATAAGGCATGAAAGTACTTCATTTCTTACAAAATTGGACTTGTTTTTTACCTTTCTAAAAATATTGCTATTTATTTTAATATTTTAAAGCATAAATCTAAAGGATGTGACAAAGTCAACCATTTGGAGATATTTCTCTTATGGGTACTTAAAAGTTCTTCCAAATTTCTAACATGAAGATGAAGCCTTAAAACCTAGAAATTGCAGCATAGCTATAGCAAAAAAACATTGAGCTGGGAGTTTACATAGTTGATTTTCATCCCTGCTCTGTCACCAACAGGCTGGATGACCTTTTGAAGATCTCCTAAGACTCTTTCTCATATAATGAGGGAACTATACTAGAAAATTGTCAAAGCCCAATTTGGCAATAAAGTTCTGAGTTTCTATAACTTAAGGAAGACACTAATAAACTTTCATTGTGGCTACATCTATGGGAAGCCAAAAATTCTAGAGAGTTTAAAGAAAATCATTGAATTTGTTCATCATGAAATGTGAAATAATTTAATTTAATCATTCAAACTCTGATCAAAGTGATTCTGGAGAATGGAAATAAGCAATTTATTGTTGCTTTAACCATTTGTTAATGACCCCATCGAGACACTCATTCTTCATTCAAGAAATAATACTTGCTCACTACGTGTCAGAAACTTTGCTAGATATTGAGGCTAAAATGATGAGAAAAACCATACACTGTTTTTCTCCTCATTGAGCTGATAGTCTAATGACAAAGATCAATAATAATCATGTAATCAGCACACTTTAAGTGTGTAGTTATAAACTCTGATAAATACTGTGGAATATATAATGCCAAGAATATCTAAAACGGGACTTGACCCAGCTAGTGTAAGGTTGGGGTAAGGGAGGGCATAACAAAGGCATCCCTGAGGAAGTGATGTTTGAGCTGAGATCTAAAAAAATGACTGGCAATTAATAAACAGTGGGAGTTGGAGGAAAAGCATTCCAGGCAAAAGTAACAATGTGAGGAAATCTCATGTAGGAGGAGGAAACCATGGCAAATCAAAGATGACTGCAGCTAGAACCAGAGAAAATGAGGAGGAAGAGGCCGGAGAGGTATGCGGGAGCCACGGTTGGCCATGTTAAGAATGTTGTAAGAATAAAGGAACCTGTTAAAGCATTTTAAGCAAGGATGTCAGGTTATAGGTTTGCGTGTTGAAAAGATGTCTCTGCCTGCAAGGCGGGAAACAGATTAAAGGGAGGGAAGAGTGGAAACCAGGGACCAGCTAGTGGGCTATGATAGAAAGAGGAGATGATTGTGTCTATCAAGGTGTTGGTGGGAGAAGAAGAAAGAAATGGCTTAATTCAAAGACCATGTAGGAGGTGATACCAACAAGATTTGGTGTTGCATTTGACAAGGCTTGGGGGAGGAGGGTTGTGATGGGCAGAGCTACGAGATGTTAGCTTGTTGAAGTGGATTAATGGCAGTGCCATTCTCTTGGTGGTTGGTGCCTCTCTTGAATATCAGGAATGCCGCAAGAGGAGAGGCTGCATTGGTGTTTAGCCCTCGAACCCTTTAAGGATATTTGGCCCATCACTCCCTGATTGATGAGGGGACAAATCTTTCCTTCCTTCTTTCCTTTCTTCCTTCCTTCCTCCCTCCCTCCCTCCCTTCCTTCTTTTCTTTCTTTCCCCCGTTTTGTGTTTTCTTGGTTTGCTTTTTTGAAACCAAGAGCTCTAGTAGCTCATTTTTATTTTTTTCTTTTTATTTGCTAAATTTATCTCTTTAGGAATGTTTGTTTTGGTGTACTCTATCTCCTTTTGATGTTAACAGAGAGATATGAACACAGATACCTAAGTGGTTTTGTGAATTAGATCATATGAATGAAGCCATGCTTAGTAATAATTTCTAAGTATAAGACATTAGATTAAAGGACACATAGGATGTCTTGAATTTTAAGAATTTGTTTTATCAACTATTATTAGCTTCTATATTTAATACATCAGAATAATACATCTACTGATGTATATTTTTACCTGTGTGCACACAAGAGGTTATCAGCCATACAATTAATTTGCCAAAGCTCATTCATTTGATTGGCACAGTAGAAACAGGCTACAAATGCATTGGCAGGGGTATTCAAGTTTGAAGTTTAAACAAACAGTGATGTTATATAGAAAAAAATTATTTTCCACTTCTATTGAGAATAAATGATCTGCTTGTACCAAGAATATTACACAAGAAAGTACCTTGGGTAAGAGTTGTTTTGTGGTGCTTCTGTGTGTACAATATACAGCTAGTCACTAGAACATTCACTCTATCCTGACCCCTCAACAGTGCTTTGCATGTAGTTACTGCTCAAATAAATCCTTGCTGAACAAATGAATGTTTCTTTAATGCTATCTGGAATGCCCTAGAAGAGTTGGATCCTCGGTGCCCCGGAGGTCGATATTTTGGTAATTTTCTGGATTTATAGAGAGTGAAAGTTCTGAATAAACTATAAAGCCACTGCCTGACAAATAGTACAGCAGTCACCTTCATTACCACATGCCATTTAGGCACTGACCTATCTACATGGAGATTATTAGGTTTTGTTTAAGAAATAAGCTTGAAATATTTATAGTCTCAGATAGTTGAAATATTCAGGTTCATCTGTTTATTTTTCTTTTCAGAATCAGAATGAAGTTCCTAAACAGTGCCATTTTGGA